AAAGTCCAAAATCAAGGGATCCGAAAACAATGAGGAAGATGAGATGGATAGTATAAAGTTTTAAAATCAAATATTTTAGGAAAAGGTGGACTCTCAAATGTGATTTTCGATTGTTTTTCGAGGCACCAGAAAAGATGAAAGAAATTTCAAAAGGTTGAATTACAAGTCCCAAAAACAGCATTTTGTATACAATTCTTGACGGTTTATTATTATTATTTTCGTCATTATTTATTATTGTCATCATTATTGTTTATCATTAATATTCTTGACATGCCGTGGTCATTATAGCACCATTCCTTGAAAATCCTACATTTCATTAGAATTATTATTGTATGTTGTCGTAAAGTATTCTCGCAGTGTATCCTGGTCATTATTGATATAACGTTGTTCACGCAAGTTGCAAATATTGTTGGTTGTCCATTGTTGCCGTCAATCTTGTCGTCTCTGGATGGCTTGCTGCTGCTATTGCTGCTGCTGCCGTTGCGTGTAAGGACTGATGACGAATATTGTCATTATTGTTATTGTTGACCATCCTATTGTTATTAAATAAAGCTGGCACTTTTTTGAAAATATATATATGAAATTCATTGTGATTAATATAACTCCTCCTGTTTATCTAAGAAAAAATATGAAAGCACAAGTCATTTTTTAAAATATCAATAGACAATTATACTATTTGCGATGTAGATATAGAAGCCTGATTGATTATTCTAGGAAAACCATGTCATGTTTTTAAATGGAGCTAAGCATATCAGAAGTTTGCAATGTAAATGTTACAACAGCTGCCTTACTCTTATAAATTAATTTACTAAATTTATAATGAGCAATTACTTTTGTAATATGAATTAATCCGAAACATTTAACGAATGGCATTTAAAATTTTTTTTGGGTAATAAATATTATGCAATTATGGAAAATTTACGTAATTTATGCGTAATTTTACTCTCATAAGCGACTTATAGTATTATATCGAGCTCCGCAGTTTATATAATAACTTACAAGCGTAATATTGTGTTGATAAAAATTAACTTGCAAGTTAATTACAAATAATTTTCGTGATCCACCCAGTTAAGGAAAGGTTTTAATTAATGCCGATCCGGCAAAATTTTTAATAACAGTAATCGATTTTTCACCCCCATAGAAAGTCGTGCATTTATTATGTTACATTAAAAAATTTTATATCAAACTATGAAAAAACGGGCTATTAAATTTGTCGGTTTTCAGTTTCTCTGTTATTTAATGAGCGGTCCTGGATTGTGGGCATAAAATTCATATATTTAAATATATGAAATAATTAGAATGTGTTCCAGAATAATATTATTATTAAATATATTTAATAACCACAATAGTAGCTATTGATTGACTTTATTGATTTTTACTGTTTATTTATATCTAGGAAAAACTAACAGTAATTGTTACATATAATAATAATAGAGGGAAATTTATGATATTAATTTTAATAGGTTAATAAACTACCACAGGTCAAAACAGCTATATTTAAACCAATAATTATTGAGGCGTGTAAAGTTGGCGTCTGATCTAAGAAATTGCAATTTGGGATGTTTCAACCTAGGTCGCAACTGGTTGCAGAATTTCAAATCAGTTGCAGATACCAACTTTAGAAGCATGGTTAGATTTGAATGTTAAATCTGAAACATCCATTTTTTGGTAACTTTATGATTATAATTTGAAACTATTGACTATTTTTTGGTAGGCTTGTAAAGCAGTTAAAAATACACGTAATACATGGTTTTGGAAGTTGTATGACCATTTAATAAAGCTCTCACCAAGTTTTTCTTCATATAAATCATTTTTCAATGAAAGATCTGCCTGCATGTTTTAGCCAAATAATATTTGTTTTGATTTTAGACAAAACAATTCTGGATTATGTAACTTTAGAAATTTTGGAGCTATTTTTGTAAATTTAAAAAGATGGCCAGATACTCTGAGTTTTTTTTATTTGGTAAATTTTTAAAGCACAAATCTACATGTAAAATATTGTGCTATTTCTGCGGCGGTTCCAGATTATGGACACTAATTGGTTTTGCTATGATGCTTATCCCGGAATTTTACTATGTATATCCTTTCCTTCACTGATGGATCACGAATCAAGCTATTCCTGTTAACCAGAATTTTTGATGTTGAATTTTCTACCTGTTTTCTAAAAATATGGCCGCGTAACAATTCTTTCTGATCGTACACCACCAGATCGGAAAAAGTGATTAATAATAGTAGTATAATTGTTATTACAAGAATATAAATATTATGTGATCCACACATTGGATTTTTAAAAACTCGCCACCATTCAATTCGGCTTTAAAAAGGGAGTCTATTAATCTAAAAAAAAAATTTGTCTCAAATTTTCTTTTTCATAGATTTTTTAAATTTGAAAGTCGAAAGTGCAACAATAATTTTCGTGTCACACTATTTTGAATATCACGACCAAATTGGTAATGATTTTCTTTTAATGTTAAACTTTTTTGTTGTAAAGAACTTTTATTTATTAATAAAAAAAAGGAAATAAATAAGTCAAATAAATCAAATGTATGTTGTAAAAAATATTCTATGTTGTTACACGAAATATACTTTGACTCAATTTCTTAAGTGTATAACAAAATTCGGGAATTTTCAAAATGCTAAGGCTCGGCCAATTTTCAGTTTAAGAAAAAACCAGCCGATAAGTTTTGAAGCTTGAGCCATGAACAATAAAGCTTATCGGTTAAATTTTTTAAAATGATATAATTTTTTTTCGTTTTAGTATTTTGAAATTGACCAAAGCAATTAATGATTATAGATGATCTGCGTCGTAGAATTTTTGTTGTTGAATTTTCTAAAATAATAAAATATGGCTGCGTAACAATTCTTTCTGATTGTACACTACAAGAATATATCATAATTAATATATTGTAAAAAAGTGGAATAAGATAACAATCTTTAAATCTAATTAATTATATATTTTGGTTGATAAAAAAACAAACTTAGTTTTTTTGTTGTTATTTAATCCTTTCCTTCTGTGAATATCTGCATCCATTAAATATTCATGATAATTATTCAATACATTTGATGTTGTTGATATAACAAACAATTGCATCACCCAAGTAGTAATAATACCAAGGCCATGCAAAAATAAATTTTTTTAATAATGCATGTCTACCAGTAGTTCACAAGAGTAAATAAATAGGGAGGGTTTTCCTTCCCAATAATAAATCTGATGTTGATCACAGATGCCAGATTTAATTAAATTTTCCTTATCACAAACAATAATCGTGCTTTTGCACGCCTCCATAATTGCAGAAATTTTTACCACAATCGAAGGCTCCCCAATGTTTGAAGGTTTTTTTATAAAGTCAACAAAAACTTTCCCTTATTTTCCCCTCGGACCAGGCTTGATTGTTGCCGTATGGGCATTGATCACTAATGAAGATCCGCATTTGTGTGATGATTGCTTTGTGTTATGCCCCTCTAGAATAAAGTCAGTGTCTGCAACGGGTTGCTGTTTTGGATTTCCCAGAATTTAGGCGCACCAATGTTGGTCAAATGAAAATTAAAGAGCCTTCTCTGGTTTGGGTGCTGTGAGGGAAGATTAGTGAAAACATCGTTGACGATTGGTTGATGGATGGAAATTCCAAACCCCCTCCCTGGAACTCTGTTTGCATCGTTCTATCCCTTTGAGAGTAACTCGGTAAAGATTAGCCTTGTGTAAATGAGGAACATGAGAATGACTGTAGTGTCCAAGACAGTGTGCGTGCTTTAACGCCTGGGGTAAGACATGTCAAGGTTAAGGTATGACCCTAAGCCCATACCTTAACCCTCACATATCTTACTTCCAACATATCTGGTAATCAAACCTTGTCCTTGTATCTTAATCCTGACATATCACCCCCGACATATGTGGTAATCAAACCTTGTCCTTGTATACTCAAAATGTTTCTTTGTCAACGGTGTGCTGCCTTGTCATGTAAATATATATTTATAATAATATTAATATTATTACTGATTACGAAAAGCAAATACCAATTATTTACCATCTTGATGAGGATCTTATAATGGCGCGTTTGTCTATCAAACTTCTTAATTGGTGGTCTGCCAATCAACGATAGAAATTTGTTATGCAGATCCGGCTTTAACTGGGATTTAAGATTTCAGCACTTTTATGGTTGCATCTCAAGTTTAAACACCATACAGGTATTAGAAGCCTCAACAAGTATATTCATTGTAAAGTGGAACTCTTTCAATAGTGATGAATATATATCGGCACTTTTAAATATCCACATTCGCCGATTTCTTCTTGCCACACAATGTTTCCAACAAGCAAGTCCTCCAAGAAATCATTCGGGCTGATACTATCCATATAGAATGCTCTTTTTCTCTTTGTCTGCTTGCTTTGCATGTCAGTAGAAGGAGATCAGCACGTTTTCCTGGCTCTACAATCTCCTGTTTAAGAATTTATCAATAGATCCTTTCCCAAGAATTTGAGCACCACTTCAATTGCTAATGGTTCAGAAGTATATTCAAAACAAGCTTTTCTTGTAAAAAAATGTCAACAGAACAAATGGAGTAGTTAACTGTCATTATTATGAGGTGTCTCTTTCTTGGGATCAGGGTTTGAGACTTTTGTTCACCTCGTAGTTTTACTGTAGTAATTGCTATGACATCATGTCAAGCCTTTGCTATCGGTTTTTTTTGCAATACACATCATCCTTTACTCTGGAAATGCTCATTAATGGCTAGGGAGTTAAAAGTGAAAACATTGATAAATGGTGAGAATAAATGATAAGTTGAAAGTTCTTTCAAGGTTGGATCGTTCTTATTGGATAGTACCAAGTTTGAGGCATGAGATGTAATATCTAAAAGAGGCCCTGCCTCTTCATAGATTGCTTGAAGTGAACGTCTTCAACATCAAAATAAAGTTATATTACAATGCTCGTTCAACACCTTTGTACATTTCCTTCCTTATCAATGCAAAGTAAAATTTTAATGTTACAATCATCATTCCTGAATCATTTTAGATATTGATCTAGCCCAGTTTTTGATTCTGGGTTGAATTGACCAATAGATTTCATTGCTATTTGTAGCTTCCAGCATATTTTTTCAGAAAATTTTCCACCCTCTTCTTGTCGTTTCCATGACTCATTTGGAAATATTGATTCTTTTTCTATAAAGAACACTGCATTTTCCAACAAGCCATTGAACCAAGAAACTGGATCACGTGAGTATTGAAAGCTATGTATAATCAGCTTTGCATAATCAATTGGACATGGAAATCAATGCCAAAACCAAGGTGAAAATATCTTTTACAACCTTTTGATTTACCATAACTAGAGGACTGAATGACGGCAATGTAGGGAACATAATGACAAAAATTTCATGGTGGGCTTCAACAGTTTGTTGTTTATCGTAAAAATTGGCACAAAAAGTTTCTTGGGTTTGGTAAAGTTTGGTTTTCAAGTTATGCACATCCTGACATTTTTCTACTATTCCAGAAAAAAAAAAGACAGGTAAGAACAAAAGATATAGATAAAGATTATATTTAGAACTAGTAAAGACCAAACAACATCTCACAAATAATTAGAGAAATGTTGAAGGAAAGAGCTCACACACCACCAGCTAGTCAAAAATGCAAGTAGTATATCAAATGTATAAATGTCCTGTTATGACAATTGAGAGACGCTCTATATAGGAAAACCGGGTTTCGAAACTTTTGATCAAAAAAAATCATGATTATAATTGGTGAAAAAATTAGATGCTGTTTACTTAGTACAAAAATAAATTTTGAATCGAAAAAATGTTCTACAAACTCATATTTCATAATAATAAATAATTTAATAGTCATGGAGACCCCATAGAATTATAATTTAACCTTTCTATAAAATTTAAATTTTAAAGGTGAATGAATGAATACATGCTTTATTAATCAATATTACACGTATATTTTCTGTGTAACAAATTTAAAAAATTTTATATATATTACTTGAAAACCCATTTTTCCTAGAGCGTCCCCAACTTTCAAACTAACTTTCGACTCCCAATAAACTTGGACACATATAGATTTTTTAAATATACTTAATTCCCTTTTCTTCAGTTAAACGAATTCTAATTATTTGCATCTCTTCTGGTTTTATTTGAGTATTAAAGCTGCAATAATTCTTCAGGAGTATAATTACTATCCTTAGAGAACTCAAAGTAGCCATGTCATTTATAATAGCGAAAATTTTAATAATATTGATGGCAATAGTGTGAATTTGAAATCTATAATTAAAAATTACGCATGATTATCTCCCTTTGAGATAATCACGCTGCCAAATTGACCATGAAAGGAAAATCAAATAAATTTATAAAGAATTAGAAAAATGTGTTAATTTGATCTCATCACGTTCAACTAAAAGCTTGATTAGCTTGAAAATAAGCCAAAAGGTCTGATATTTACTCCTAATTAACCCATACTCAACATCTTCAGCGTAATTTGAAACATTTTATGCTGTATTCATGGGATTTAGAAATAGAACATTTCCTTGGTAATTTAATTATATATAAGGAAAGGGATTTTTTGAGAGGAGGAACTTAACTATATACAACAAGTATGATATTGTTATCTCAAAATTTACATACTACAAAATTTGATTGCAATAAAGCATATTTATTATTTACAAGTGAAAACTCCACCGCCAGATAGTCTTGTACAAATCTCACATATTTCTCCACCTCCTCTTTCTACTGTAATTGCAGGTGTAATTGTTGGGTTGGTGCTCTTCTTACAGATGGTTGTCATCCACAATAATAATATGGGTCTGGACAATAGAAATGGATCATGTTATGGAAATGATGTTTTGAGAAAAATATCCAATTTACTATTAAAACTTTAACTGAGCAAAAATTATTGTGGGACAACCATTGCGCCAATACATATGAAAATCGGCTCATTCGATAAGTTAAGAAACAGGATTTTTCTATGATCATTTGATAATTTTATTACCAAAACTATGAATCAGTGAATACTACATAGTGATCGGCGGGGAAAATTGACGAAAAAAACACTAGTCGGTAACCTTTTATAAAAAAAAGTTACTATACTTTTTTCTTGCAAGAAAAATTTTTTTTGTGTATACATAGGTAAACTCGATAAGTCGGACACAAATGGCTGGACATGGTGTCCGACTTATCAAAATATGCAATTTTACAAAAAAAAAAAAAAAAAAAAAATAAGAAAATCGTTGTTTAAATCATATTTATTTATTTATAATAATAATTGAAAAAATAATTTAATAAAACAGATAGAAGATAAAACAAAAAAATCTCTACTCTTTATCTAAATAAATATTCATACTGGTTTGTACTAAAGAATTATTTTGTTTTCTATTAATTTTCCATTTTAAATCTTTTAATCATTTAATGATGAGACAACAAAACGTGAATTCATTTAATGATGAGATAATAAATGACATAATTGATAAATATAACAATAAAATACATTATTTGCAAAGACAAATTTTTTAAAATGATTATAATTGATAATAATATTATTCACGAAACGGATTTATGAATAATGAAATTATTATTACAAAAATTTATTGGATAATACATTACTAAAAATAGTAAAGATTATCTCTCAAGATTTACGAAAATCACGTGAACCGACTTATCAAGAGTCATTTATTATTATCTGGCTGGAGGAGTTGTCCGACTTACAGCTTAATAAGAGTTTATATATGTGTCCGACTTATCAAGAAATTTTTAAATATAAAAAAAAAAGGGCTGGAAATTTTTGTCCGACTTATCGAGTTTACCTATGTATTATCAACGAAAGATGATTGGATTAATAGTAACGTTTATATTTTATATAAAAATCAATAAATCAATAAATCAATAAATAATTCGCACTCACTCTCTAGTCACATCCTCGTCTCGTCGAATACTATAATCAATGACTTCTCGTTTAAATTTAGTCAGGTTCATATTACTCCTTCCAAAAAATAGAAACCGATCCTCGTGGTTCTTAAATAGAACTCTAACTCTTAAACGAAACAAATTTTTTTGCTTTACTTTCTTTTCGATATTTTCGGTAGAGGTAGACATTTTGTTGAGTTTCTTTTATTTAATCAAGAAAAAGAAAAAAATTTTTATGTCATGTGAAATAAACAAATTCAAACTCAATTAACTCAAATTCAATGACGTAAATAATTCATAACACAGTAGATGAGAATGATAAATACTTGAAGATTGTTTTTTAAAATTTTTATTCCCTTTTCAGGATGATTATTAATCATCAATAAAGGTGATACAGTATGGCGAGTATCCGAGTTCATCCTCACACTTACTTCTATTAAATATACATTTTATGACCTTATAAAAAATCCTGTACAGAAAACAATACAGTTTATATACTCAAAGAATATTGAAAATATACTGAATACAAATTGAATGCATATGGAATTTATATTTTCCGCATGCTCTCAGTATGATGATAATAATAAAGCACAAAAACATACGGCAAGACGTTTTTTACTGGAAGATTCAGTATTTATTGGCAAAACTGCAAACATATAGAAAATTTAATGTTTTTCTGTATAGAAAGAAAAGATCTAAATTTGAATTTCTCTCGATTATCAATCTTTTTCTTTGACTAAGGTTATTGCAAGATGCAAGTTGATTTTAAACACGCGCTCGTCCACTCGGAGAATGTGAAGATAGTTAGCAGAGTATCTAGGATAGCAGTTATGCCTCAAAGAGCGAGGAGTAAGGTTGTGGGCGAAACCTCCTTAGTAATTGCTGAAACCATGGCAAAACTATATTAAATCTTATCAAAATCCTGTTGAAACCATGCTGAAATGGTGAAACTCAAAATGCGAAACTCTGCTGAAACTCTAATAAACAATTAATGTGTAACCTGCCGAAACCCTGCTGATTGATTTCTGGATGAGTTTTGGCAAGCAACCTTAGCGAGGAGCATCAGGAAATTTTTTTGACAGTAGAACTTACACTTCACGTAAGAACGGTGTAAGGATTGTGCTGGGCTTGTAGCCTTATGCAATTCTTGTGTAAAGAATTACAAGCTCGGAGCAATTCTTATACAATTTCATATAGAACTTACAAGCTCAGTATTATGTTTATTGATGGACAAGCTAAGGAACCGGTTTTTATTCTCCCTATGTGGAATATATACTCTGAGGAAAGTTCTTTATATGTAAATAAACTTCTCGACATCCAACTACGTTCATCCTAAATTTTCCATAGCAGTTTGATCATTTTTTACTGAAACTATCAAAAGAAAGTCACTTGTTTTTAATCTTTTGCCAATGAGTTCTCAAGGTAAATGCTTTGTTACCAAGTTCAATTGATTTCCATCTTCATTATCATTGTTTAGTAATTCGTCTGCTAATGAATTATTTAACTAAAATTAACAAGGTTAAATCAAGCATCTATTGTTGCAATAACTTTCCCCACACTATAACCAATCAGCATCCGAAATTCTTATTTCTTTGCCAAAATTTCAGTCAAATATCCACTATGTTGGAATTGGAAGTCAGGCTTGAATTTCTCAAAGTGCCTCGGTCCCATATTTATACCTTGGTCACATAATGAATGGACTAGGTAGCTTGTGGATATGGGTTCATTTAATCAATCATGTTTATTTGAAGCACATTGCTAATTTTCTAAGAGAATCTTTTTTTTTATAATAAAATTTAAGGATAATTACATCAATACAGTTAATGATGATGATAAAATTTCTCTTATTACGTTACGACGACATGTAGTTTTTTACAGCTATATGGAAAATAAAAAAAAACACAGGCGAAGCAAATTAAATAGTAGCTTTCATTCCATTAAAGGATATTCTTTTCCAATTACAAATAGAAAAATTCAATTAATAAGGGAGAAGTCTTTTTACATCCATTTTTATTTTACAATTTTAAGAAGGCTCTATAAGTAGATGTAAAATATAGCATTTTTTTGATTGGAGCATTGACACCTTATTCATTTTAGATCTTTATTTAATATTGTTTTTTTATTTCACGGATATGCGTCAGTTATTCGAGCACAACGTTTATTGACGTTATTTTTAACCTTTTTCTATAATTTTAGGCACGATTTCCTCAAATAGAAGTAATAGTAGGATGGCGCAGTCGAATTTATATTGGGAAGCCAATTTTTAAAACATTACAAAAAAAATGTTCTTTAATATCAAGAGTAGAGCGTACGTATCACAGGTTTTATGACAGAATAAATTTTAGCCAATGAATAAATTAAAATTGAAGATGGTACGAGATTATTTTATTATTTAGGAAAAAATCCTGCCTGGTTTTTGTGCTTGATAAGCAAAATATTTTTTTTTAAAAAATATTTAAGAAAGTTCTTTATTAAGTTATATAGAGCAATTTTTCTAACTTCAATGGTTGTCATTATTTCTGAATTTTAACATTAAAACAGTCATCAAGACTGTAAAGACATTGGTAATTCAATCATCTTTATCATGAAGATTTTGTAATTGGAGATGGATTGCTCTTCTAAATTTTTCATCGAAGTTGTCTTGTAATAATATTACTACTTGGGCGATGTAGTTAATTCTTTATAAATTTAAAATAAATAATATCAATGTATTTATGTGATATGTATGTCAATACAAGGGAAGGATTAAACAGTAATAAAAAGATAAGAAAAAATAAATTTATACAGCCAAAAATATTACTATGTCTATGAAAAGTTTCGAACTAGCGCCATTCTTCGACCATAAATCGCTCCAATTCATCAACATTTTTAGAGCGTCCTTTTTCAACATTATTCTTCATAATGTGCCACATGCTTCTTTATCAGAAAAACCTGGACTCGAAATACAAAATAGTTTTTTTACTTTGTGCTTCTAATTTTGCATTAACCATTTTACAAAGTTTAAAGGTTAAACATATACAAACGTTGATTATCATACATTACACTGCAACCACCATTTTTTTTTTTTTTTTTGAATTACACTGTATATATAAGAGCAGAATAATCTTATTTTGATCATTTTTGAGCATATTACCATTTCTTTTCTAAATACCACTTTTTTAATATTTAAAAGAAACTTGCGAGATTAAAGAAGATTGCTTCGGGTCATGATCATAAAGTAATCCCTAATTTGATATGTAAATATAGTAGCAATTGTTTATTTGTAAAAAGGTAAATTGAAACGTTGACAAATAATTATTGGGCTTTTGAAATTTTTTATTATTTCATGATTTTCCCTAATTTTCATTATTATAATAATCCGGGTAAAGACCTTCAATGACTATCTTGGAAAATTTTTATTATAAGTCATATCCAAATCAAGTAAAGCAATAGAAAGTTTGTGTCCATTTTAAATAAATTTTCTAAGCCTTGCTTATTATTTTTTGGAATAACATCAACAACTATATCAATATGATTTTCTTTGTTCTTTAGATAAAAATATATTGGATAATTTTTTCAATGGTTACATATGAAATTACATGTCTTATGGGCAAAGCTTTTAATTTTTTGACATGTTGTATGCTAAAATGGGTAAAGGAGGAAAATGTTACCTGCTTAAAAGGGAAAAAATTTACCAATAGCCTTTAACTACAGCCTGAAGAAGATTGTAAATAAAATTTATATTTTCAAAAAGATAAAATAAGAAATTTGCAAAGCATTAAATATCAATCGAAAAGTAATATCCTTCTCATTTATTGATCGAAAAAGCAATAGTTCTTCTTATTGATTGATAAAAAAAGCAATGGTTTATTGTTGCTAAGATCTCTCTCATTAATTAATCGAAAAAGTAATAGTTCTTGGTTTTATCAATGACATGCATTTTTGTTTTTTCATGATGACAAGTATATATTGATTTTTTCATGTTGATCTCAACACAGCAAGAAGAAGATATCAGAGAAATCAAGTACAAGTTAAAAGATCATCAAGAAAAAAAACGGAAAGTTGACTATTTGATCTGCAATTTTTACACAAAACACAAAACAAAATGAACATTGGCAAATAGAAATTCCTAGAAAATACAGTTTAATAAAGATTGAATTTTCAACATCTCGACTCAACATCAACATGCCATGTTGACTTCTTTCCTCCCTTCTCGGCATGATCACATCATGATGCTTTTTTTTTTTTAGATAAAATTATCAAGAAAAACAAATTAAAAAAAATCTATTAATCCTGAAATAGAAATTGAATGTTGCACCGAATTTTGCGGTCTGTCATATAATAATAATAATAAAATCAATCAACAAGAAAAATAAATATGAATATTAATTCAGTTCAAACACTTTTCTTTGGCATTCGTGAATATTTAAGTCCAGTACTCAAGAATTCCAAATTTAAAGAAACTGGTTGCATTACACCAGAAGAGGTTAGTAAAACATTTATGTATAATTTCATATATTATATCTATCATCATTATAATAATTTTGAGATAAAAAATATATGTAATAATAGTTTGTAGCTGCAGGTGACTTTTTGGTTTATAAATGTCCCACATGGAATTGGTATTTAGATCATATATTTGTATTAATGATTGAAATTAACAAATGATTTATATATTTATACATATATTTGTTTCATTCTTTATCAATTGGAATTTGGATTTGCGGATTTTATTTCTTTTATAATTAATTGGAATTTAGGGAAAATGGTGAAGTGAGTAAAAGAAGAGACTATTTACCCGCTGAAAAACAATTTCTTATTACACGAAATGGTAAACCTACTACTATAATTACTACTATTATTATTAAAAATGAAAAAATATTCTGCTTATAATTATAATTAATAATAATATTATTATTTATAGTTCCTTGTTTAAGACGTATCAAACAAATGGAATATACTGATGAAGATGCCGAGACTCAAATTGAGACTGAAGATGGAGAAGCTTGGGTTGCGACTCATAGTGGTCGTGGTAATAATTAATAATTAATTAACAGATTGGTTGTTCCATGACAATACATACACACATATATATATAACTGTTTAATTATTTGATTATAGCAACAACAAACATTGATGAAATTTCTCAACAAATTGAAGGTGAAGAGGACGAGGTCACTAAAAGAATGAGCAAGGTCGTTTTGGAAGAAACTAATGATAAAGATGATGAAGATATTCCAGATATTGATGAAATTCCAGATATCGATGATGATATAGAAGAAGGAGAAGTTGTTGAAGAAGAAGATCTGGTGAAATTAACTTTACTTTTAAAAAATTTCTTGTCAAACAGTAAAAAAGAAAAAGCAAATGATATTGATTAAATTATTTATTATTATTAGTCTACATTATCACCATCAAACAATACCAGAAATTCATCATATGAAGATAGCCCAAGGTTTGCTTTTAAAATAAATAAATTAAACAAAAACTGAAATATATTTATATTTTAGAAATTATATTTTTTTGATATAGTGATAAAATTCTTCAGGTTCGAACATATGATTTATTCATTACCTATGATAAATATTATCAGACACCACGAATGTGGCTATTTGGATACGACGAGGTAATTAATAAATCAAACTATTTCTTAATCATTAAAAATATACATATATATATTTATATTTTTAATGATTGGTTCGCTCGCTCATTATTATTTAGGAACGTCGACATTTGACATCAGCACAAATATTTGAAGATATTTCACAAGATTATGCAAAGAAAACAGTTACAATTGAGACGCATCCACATTTAAATATGTCGTTGGCTAGTATTCATCCATGTCGTCATGCACCCGTTATGAAAAAAATTATAGAAAAAATGAACGAGGAAAGTATTAAAAAATTTGAAATGTTTCAACAACAATATGGAAATGCTACAGGGTCAAATACGCCTCAAGCAGAACAGGGTCAAGTTCGCGTTGATCAGTAAGTATACGTAAATTTTGAATGAGTTTATATTACTAAAGTTATATAATAATATTAGATTTAAGATTTTAATTCATACTTATTATTTAATTTTTAGATATCTTATTATTTTCTTGAAATTCATGTCTTCTGTGGTTCCTACAATTGATTATGATCATACAATAAGCACATAAAAACAAACACACACATATTAATTTATTGTTATTTTCTGGAATCTTTTTATAAATAAATTTATAAACTTGTTTTTTTTTTTTAAAAAAAACAATTAATTACCTAAGGCTACACACACTACTGGTCAAGATCATAAATATTTTAGGCATATCGTTATTTAAGAAATATTATTATTGTTGTTGAGGAAGATCTTTCTAGAAAGTACCATTTTATATGACCCCGCACATGCATCTAAAACTTTTATATTTGATTGACATTAATAGCTTCCGAAATTAAAACGTTAATATTAATATCTTTGATGGCCATTTTTTCTGTCGATCATTATAGAGCATAGTGGAATTTTGAAATGTTACACTAATTTTTTATATCGTACAATGTAGCTTTACAATACACGGCAAACATTCTGGCAATAAAAAGTAAGTGATAAACTGGATTTGAATTGGATCTGA